GCTGCATGCCCTGCACATGTAGCTGACATCCTGGAGGATGTTTCTGTTGCAAACATGTCAGGACTGTTGAGGAAGCTTGATTGGCATGAATAATGGGATAAAGTGAAAGTTTTACACAGAATTTGAGTAAAACGGTATCCAAGCAGTTAAAAGTTCAGGTTTTTACCTAAATGTGGCTTTTGGATCACCTCTACCTGTTTGTGTGTTTTATTCAATCTTTCCACCCATTATGTTTGGCTGTGTTTGGGTGGATATATGTATTTGGATGAACTCCTCTTTCTCCCGTACAATCAAAAAGCTTCTGTCAGGTTTAAAGCTGACGATGCCAAAGACGACTCAGTGAAAACTAAGAAGAAGAAAATAAAGCTTCTTCTGACCTCTGTCCTAAAACCCTCTCCCTTCCTTCTGTTTCTGGCAAACAGAGTTAACCAGTTTTCTCTCCTTAATCTGTTCTTATTTCCCTCTGTGGGATATTTTTCTTTTTCTCCTTGTGATATTTTCTTTCCTCCTTCTCCTCCTGGTCTGGCATTTCTCAGCTCTGCATTCCAGCTGCATGGATGGCCGCACTCTCCTTCCTTCTGAATTCCTCTTATGTAGCCCTTTGAAGTTGTGTGCCAGTGCTCATACTGCATCTGCCTGATTTCTTGCTGGAGTCCACTTTATTTACATTTGAGGAAGACCGCCGAGGCTTTCCCCCCCTGAGAATTTTAAGGTGGTGCATCTATTTCTGTAACAAAAACATTTAGTTGGATGAATGGTCATTTCTTCCATGTTTACAAAGCTCCTCATCGTGCTCATAAATCCTACTACAGCAAATATGAAACTATTTATTTGACTTACCGTATAATAAATGTTTCGGCCTTTTACCAAACAGATTTAATTTGTTTCTTCCCTTAAACCTTAATTTGATATCCACGCATTAATCAACTGCCATCTTTGTTTATGCACCTAATTCCTGACAGAAAATAATCCCCACAGTATGATGCAGCCACCACCATGCTTGTGCTAGCCTTCTTTTCTACTTGAAGCCAAAACTTTGTATTTTGTTGAAATATTTAATGAGAGTTTTGCTTCTCCTGACAATTAAAGTTTGTTTCTGCAAAATTTAAGAAGATATCTAGATCTGGCCTCTGCACCTGTTTAGTGTTATAGCAATGGTTTATCTACTGAAGCGCCTTCCCTCATTACTCATTTTGGGTAGATTGTAGAAGGTGCATGATTTTAAAAACCTCCTTACAAATATAGGAAACCACATTATTTGATGAATGTTTATTTTTTATTTTTTATTTTTTAGGCCAACATCAAAAATCTGTTTCTCTCTGAAGACATTCTCCTTTTTAAGTCCCCTACATGACTGGTTATAAAGTCCAAGCAGGAGATTTATGACTTAATTTAGAAAATTAGTTTCTCTTATAAAGGATGGATTTGTGGAATATTAGTTATCCTGGTATTACGTCTTCTCACCTTAGTTGTGGTTTATCTGCAGTTCCTCAGAGACTATACCTGGGATTGTTCTCCAATTAATGTTCTCCTTGTCTAAACTGTCAATATTTTTTAAAATAAAATATTGTTTTATAACCCGAATTCTGTTTTTTAACTACTTCTTAACTTTATTCTTTTTTTTTCTGAAGAAAACCTTTAATTTTTTCCATGACAGCTGCATTAATACTGAGAAGAAATAACTTGCATGTGAGCATTTCTTTACTAGTAAAGTTACTTCAGAGGGTAATAACATTTAATGTATTTTTATTGAGGTGTTATGTTATGCGCGCTGGCAGCTTGTTAAATCTGCTAAATTTAGTGAATATTTTACAAACGTTTCTTGTAAAGAGAAATTAGAAAACAATTACCAATATTTATTTATTCCTTGCATTATAAAGTATTATTTTTTTTATTTACGATTAACTTATTTATGTGGAAGGATACTTTGACAGCTGGATCAAGCCAGTGTAATCTCATATATGAGGTGCTGTTGGCAGTAAGATGGTGATTAGTCCAGGAAAAGAAACCAAAATGAAGAAAACAAGAGTCTTTATTCCATCGTCAGCCTCTCAGTGTCGAGGGAAGTCCCAGAAATGTCAGCGATCAGCCTATTTGGGTCTGTGTTAAGCAGCTCAACTGTATGAGTCAGCAAACTAACCCACATTCTCACAGAGGGATACAAGAGAGACAGGAAGATTGAGATGATATAAAACTGTCAATTGTCTTCTATATGTGTCAGTCGGGTTGCAATAAACTCATGGGGAGAGAGAAAGCAAACGGGAATCTTTCCTGGGTTCCAGGAAACAAAAACTGGAGAGTTTCAGCTAAAACGGTTTTACTTGTAATAGCTCCTTTAATGCTAACTGTTATTTCTGTATTTCTGCTTTACCTTCTTATTTATTTGAACTCTTTATCAGTTCTGTACATGTTTCCTCCTTAATTTTCTTCCAATTGCTGTTTAGCTGTTGCTGCAGGAAGGTGATGCAGTCGTTTCTCTTTTCTAAGCTCAAGACAATCATCCTTTGCTTTGTTTAGTTCACCTTTTATTTGCAGTTTTCTCTCTTTCTCTTAACTACCTGCATCAGCTCTGGGACCACATCATGACTCTGGGGGTGACGACCCGGCTGCCGTACGAGTCCCGTGTGACACGTTTAAGCAGACCACACGATGACATGACTAACGGTTTTAATTCACACTGACTCAGTCCTGGTTGTGTCAGATCTCCTTTAGCCAGGCTAGCTGTGAATATGCACCTGTCAGCTTGCTTTAGTAACACATCTGCAAAGATGACACACATATGCTCTCTCTGTCAGCCTCTGTCTGCGTCCGAGACGTTGCTTAAGAGTCTTGATCCTCACTGTAAGAGGATTTAAAGTACAAAGCAGTGTTTTCCTACATCATATACGATGCAATATGGACTTTATACTTTCTTGCACAGATAATTATCTATGGGATTTTTTTTAATCCAACACAAACTTCCATATCAGTAGGTATTCCTGCACAGATTGCAGAGGGATGAAGGAATTGTGCAGTATAGTGACACCTGGCTTTGATGCTTTAAATTACAACCAACTTCTAAATGCCTCCTGCTTCATTCCAGTAGTTTTATGATGAATAATTTAACAAAGCTGAGTTGTTGTAGATTGTTTTCCCTTTTGTTTCTGTCTCTGTTGCATTAACAATAGCTCCACTGTTGATGAGAATCAGAACATTCTGTCTCCTCTGGAACCACACAGCTGAGGTTGCACGGTGTATTGGAGGTTTAACCTTACAGCGACATGACTGAAAGAAGTTTGCATACCATGAAGAAGTGCTTGGACTTTAATTATTTTATCTTATAATAGAAGTATCAGGTTTCCAGGCTCTGTTTGCCTGTAATTTATTAATTGACTTTCGTTTTTGTTTTTCGTTAATGCTGTATGAATGAATTTTTCTACACCCTAATTGGACATTAGTTCTTTAATTCTGGAAATGTCCATCATGACAACAAGATTTCAGCCATAATGGTTTATATCTGTAGTAGCTAAAGCTTTGAGTTAATTCTGAATCTCTCCTCCTTTGTTCTGAAGTTTATTACCTCAGTTTGGCTTTTATTCAGTTATAGAAAATGATTGAATATCCACATATTGATCAGTTCTAAGCATTTTCTCAACACTCTGATCAGTTCGCAGTCACCTGGTGGCATTATGATGCAAATCTGATCCAAAAGTCTCCACTAAACTAAAAGGATGCAGCGCTTAAAGATTAGATTATTTATTTTTTTGCATTAAGAATATATAACGTTTTTTTTTTTCCAGGTTTCGCCTCATTGTCCAGTAAACAGAATGCATTTTTAAATAGCCTTTTTGCAAAAAAAGTAATATTTGGGTGCACCATTTTCTTTAGAATCAGGAAAATCAGAATGCCTTTATTATCATTATATGTGTTACAATAAAATGATCAATATCAGTGCAAAGGCACAGTAGGAGAAAAGGAAATAAGAAAAGTATGTGAAATATATACAATTTAATCATGTAGAAATAAGTGTGAAGTGCGCACTGTCTAGTCAAACATGGTTAATATACAGATGTAGAATAAATATAAATTGTACATAAATGTTGTTGTCTATCACTGATTAGAATATTGCATATGATTAGGATTACATTATGATTAGGATTATGATTAGAGTTCATAACTTAATATGAGGATTACCAATAAATTTAATTACATTTTTTATAGCTTGGGTCTGATTTTAATTTTAATTCCTTTAAAACATATTTTACCAGAAAAGTAAAAATATAAGTATTTAGTGAGGTTTGGATTTAAATTAAAACCCACCTGGAAGGCTAAATAATCTACAATGTGCAATAATAATCATATTCAATTAAAGTAGAGTGACTGTTTAAAGAAATTTAAAAATAAATAGTGTGAAAATGAAAGCCTGCATAGCCCTCGCAACAGAAGCTGGAATGTATGTCTTATAAACACACATGTAGTGATTTATTATGTTTAACAAAGTGGCATCTTGTTGCATTTGATCAGATTTATCCCCCTGAATTTGTCACACTGGATCGGAAGTGTTTGCATCTGTAAAGCGGTTTAGTTCAGGCATTTCTTCACATATTTTATCAGCAGCCGCTGTTAAAGCAAAGCATGCTGAAACGCTGAAAGTTTCAGCTCCGGTGGTTCCCGTTTATCCTCCGCCGAGTAGACAAAAGGATGATGGCAGCCCAGGCAAATGTGCTTTTGCTCTGCAGCTTACCTCGGCTCAACCTGGTGATCCCCAGGAGCTCACAGGTCACCAGGGAAATATAATCCCCACAGCATGTTCTGGGATGAGCCAGAACACATAAAAAGAAAAGCAGGAGGGAAAAGAACATGCTTTGTGTTGAGATAAAGCTCCTGTTATTACAGCAGAGCGTATGTCAGTTTTAACCAAAAGCTGCTTTATTCTGCTCTTTCTTGTGCTCTATTAATCACCTCATTAACGTCCCTAAATGCTGCCAGTGATGAACCGATGATTTTTCTACCTCTCCCAGCATCTTCAGTGCACCATCCAGGCCTTACAAGATGAGCTCAGGATCCAGCGAGATCTCAATCAGCTCTTCCAATCCGATTACTCTGAGTCGGGTCGACTTGGAGCCCAGCCCATTCCCCCTCAGGAGATGACCGAAGAGAACTTCCTCCGTCTTCACAGCGAGTTCGAGCGGCAGGCCAAGGAGCTCTTCCTCCTGAGGAAGACGGTGGAAGAAATGGAGCTGAGGATAGACACACAGAAACACACCCTGACCGCCAGGTATGGATGGACAGAAATGTGACCGTTGTGTAACGTCTTCTGGCTGAAAAAACGCCTCAGGCTCTACATGACTTGTGCGTCCTTCCTGTCTGACAGGGATGAGTCAATAAAGAAGTTACTGGAGATGTTGCAGAGTAAAGGTCTGTCATCGCGGGCGGCGGAGGAGGACCACGAGAGAACGAGACGACTGGCTGACGCAGAGATGACCATCCACCAACTGGAGGGGCTGCTGGAGCAGAAAGACAAGGAGATGCTTCAGCTCAGAGAGGTGTGTGTGATCAGCACGGGGTGCAGAATTTATCTAGTAATAATCCCTTATGCATTTCTCATCCTACATCCCTCTTTTAGTCTCTTATTTCTTACTTAAATTCTCACCCTTTTCACTTTATATTCATATTTACCATGCTTCTGTTTTGTCAAACAGCTCCCCCTAGTGTTCATAAAGGTGAAACAAAGCATGGTACTAATGCAAAATCTGCTGATAGGAAAATTATTGCAAATAATTAAAAAAAGTTGCTTCTTATAGATGTTCATTTGCAAAAACTTTCCTTTAAGTATGCTTAAACCATACATTAATAGTTGGTGATTTTAACAGGACAGAATCTGAAAATGATCCTTTAAAGGCTCTAGTCATTAATTAGGGGCTTCTATCAACAACTGCTTAATGCAGTCCTTTAATGCCCAGCCCTTGTTTGCTATCATTGTTTCTGCACAAATTTCCTGTGTTTTTCAGCTGCTTTCCTCTCATACAGCGTTCAGAGAAATACAGGAACTTCAGTCTCCTGAGGAACTTCGATGCCATTATGCAGTCTTTCAAAGATGATTCCTATTGAGGTTTTCTCTTATTAATTTCCTGATGTTCTGATGGCACACCTCCTGCTCCCTCCCGGGAGCAGAGCTGCTGTTCACTTAATGAAAGATCTCCGCTATAGTTGAGTTAAATAAACTTAAAAATCAAACCAAAAATTAAAAAACGGCTTTAGAGGTTATTATTTGGGATGCATGGACTAGGATTTTTTGCTGGTCTCTTTCAGATTACCAGCTTGGTTTGATTTGAAATTATTAAGATTTATCTTAACCAGCTTTATGATTTTTTTTTTTTTTTTTTTAGGGCAAAGCAAGTATAACACTGTGTGTGAGCCTTTAGCAGCAACTTTACTTGTGCAGTCATTTAAAAAAACGGTTATTAAAAAGATAATTTTCTTGTTTTAATGTCAATCTATTTATTTATCTTTATTAAAGGGATTTAAATGTGGAAAACCCACAATGAAAAAAATGACCTTATGTTGCTGTGTTTAGTAACTCAGTAAAGATGCATGTTCTGGGAATGCTTAGAAAATTTTAACTTGCTTATTTCTTTCACCAATAAATCAAACAGATGGTATTTATTTCCATACCGAAAATATGTCTGTCATTGTTTTATCATTTATTTTAAGGAGTTGTTTGACTTTGTGGTCATTTTCGCCTGCATTTCCAGTGACATCTTCCTACTGCCAGCTTCACATGTGTAGGATTTTATGCTTCCTGGCTTTTTGCATTTGCTGTCTTTGTCAAACTGTAAGAAGCTAAAGAAATTCAGCCATGCATACTGTCATCTCCTCCTATCGGCTTTCTTCTGTCCCTGCTCGGCTCTTTTCCACTCTGTCCACTCCTTTTGTGCCTCTACATTAAACGTTGCACTCCCCCATCTACCTCTCCTCTTCGCTCCTGTTTCATTAGATGAGCTGGCTGTGATGGACTAGGATCAACCAGATTTGTAGGATCTAGTCACAGATCTCTTTGAATCTTGAGGCAGCTGTGTTTTTAGAAATCAGTTAGAATTTAGGAAATTTAGGATTTAGTTTCAGACTTCGGCTTGTTTCTGTCAAAGATCTTTTATAGTGATTTTGTGAGAAAACTAATCGAATTAGCCTCACCTCAGGCTGTCAGATCGGATTGCTTCCTGAAACTGTGTCAGTGGCATCAGCCTCTTTCGACCCTGTTTTAACTATGTGGGACGGCCGGATCGACCGCAGAAAGCGAAAATCCAGCGCCTCTGCTCAAAGGAAACCTCTCTTCCCTACCTCCCTGTCCTCTCCGGTTCCTCCCTCCATCCCTGCCTCAGCTCCTTTCCATGTGTCCCCTCTTTTTCTGCCTTCTCCAGTATTGTCCCCGTCACATCATCCCTCACTCCCTTTTTCTCCGTCCTTCCCTGCCCCATTACCCCCTCCCAGACGCCACTCCATCCATCCCGTCTCCTTCCCCTCATCCTGTCTTGCTCACTCTCCTTCTTTTGTCGTCATTTCTTCAGCCCATCCTTCCCACCGATCTCCCATCCAGCATTCCCCGTCCTTCCCTGTTCCTGCTCCAAGGCCTACCCCAGTCATCCAGCCTTCCCGTCATCCTTTTCAATCAGCCACCCTTGCCATGTCTCCTTCCTCCTTGCGTCCTCCCCTTCATCCCTCTGTGTCTTCCTCTTTTTCCTCTGCTGACCATTGGGGTGTCTCTGTGTCCCAGGAGCTGCACAGGAGATATGAAGCAGCTCCAGAATCAACGAAGACCAAGGCCCTGCAGACTGTTATCGAAATGAAGGTAAACGTCTGGATAATCAATTTAATTTCATATCTTTATTTCATTTGTTAATCATAGCTTATATTGCTCTATTATTAGATGAACCATCTAAGTCTTCCTGGAGCATGAATTCAAATAAAAATAATCCTGGTAATATAAAGTAATGCAAGTAAGTCTTTGAAACACTAATAGTAGGTTTTGTGATAAAAAGCTGTCATTTACTTCCAAACAATCTTTAGCTACTCTAATTTGATATTTTTTATGTTCAATTCAGCCCAAAAGCTGAGATTAAATGTTAAAATATAGAAATGAAAACACAGAAACAAAGCTGCTCAAGTCTGCAGACTATTAAACATTCTAGAACACTTTATGATTTATTTAGTTTTCCTCAGTTGCATTAAATCTGTTTAGTCTAAAAGAAATCACGGCCAGATGAGGAGAATCTTATGGTACAATATAATCCGTCTGGAGAAGGGTACCACACACAATGCATGGAGTTATCTCTGCAGCAGATCACAATAAAGCCATTCATCAATGACTAGAAGACAATTTGGACAATGCTGTCGTTGCAAGAATGGAATTTCATTAAAAATACAAAGGATAGTCGGTGAGGCTGCTAAGAGGTCGGCTGCATCACTGAGGAGGCTGCAGGAATTTCTGTGAAGCAGAGAAATATTTCTCTAGGGAGAATAAAAAGCCATGATGACAGTTATGGTCAAATCCCTACAGGTTTCTGCTGGAAAAGTGAAGAATATGTGAGTCAAAGCTTAAAACTAATAAGAATGAAGGTCTTAAAATGGTCCAGTCAGAGACGGGAACCATACTGTATCTAGGATGGTTGTGGACAATCTGATGAATTAGAAGAAAAATGATGATTTAAACCTGCCTTATATTACATAGGTTTTATGTAATATATTTCGAATGTTGTTGTAGATGAGATCAAACGTCCAGTGATTTAACAAACTTATTTGTATTATTTTTTCTTTCTTTCATCCGGTAGGATGCAAAGATCAGCTCTATGGAGCGTGGCATGAGGGAGCTGGAGGAGGAGGTGATGATGCTGAAGTCCAACGGAGCTCTGAGCAGCGAGGAGAGAGAGGAGGAGATCAAACAGATGGAGGTCTACAGATCCCACTCCAAGTTTATGAAGAACAAGGTGATCAATGCATTAAAATGCATTTCCTCCTATTTAGGGGAAACAAATGAACATTTAATATTTTCTCACTAACTATTTAGTCAGTTTAGCAGTTTGACATTTATGGTGAGCTAACTGGCTATAGACTGTGAAAGGCAGCAGTTTCTTTTTAGTGCAGTTATGCCTCCATGGAGTTTGGTTTAGATTATGTGCGCCGTACCTGAGGATGTGTTATACTGTTTACAACGATAATATTAATGGTTTCATTGATCTGTTTGAGAGAAATCCAATAACACAGACGTCCAGACAACGTTTATGATTCTCGTTCTTCATCCTGACATCCCTGGGAATGTGATGCCTGGTCCAACTGGGTCAGATTTATGCTTCCATTTCTTCTGAAATATCATGTGGGGGTGTAAATCACAGAGCACCCACATCCACAGTGATCAGAAGCAGAGGAGCTTGAAAGGCTAATATATTATAGAAATAATGATGCGTCTCATAGAGATGTGTTTCTAGAGACAAAGACGTTTGAATTAACTTAATAAAAAAATACATAGAACATGAAAGGCTGCTTAAATTACTTTAATTAAAGCTGGTATTTTGCTTCTAAATTCTACTTTTTTTTCTCTTTTAACTGCAGTAAAAGCTGTTTTTTTTATTTCTATGACATTTTTGCTGCTCTTCTATTTTGTGCAACATTTACAAGCTGAGTGTCATGATCAGGGCTCCTCCTCTTCCTACCATCACAGCTGATTACAGAGCTGAGATATGAGGGAAAAGTACACGTCTAAGTATAGCTGAAGGCCACGAAGCCGGGCCTCATAATAAGTAGCCTCCATGAGCCTTAACCCCCCTCCTCTCCTGCCAGGTGGAACAGCTAAAGGAAGAGCTAACTCACAGCCAATCAGAGAAGGAGAAGCTGAAGCAACGAGCCAATGAGCTCCAGCAGGAGGTGTCTGCAGTAAGAGAAGCACCTCTGTCCTTCCTTCCTTCCTTCCTTTCTTAGGCTTGATTAGTCTCTCTCAGTAGAATCGCAGCTCTACGATGTGTGGGGACGGCTGTAAGCAGCGATCGCTCAGATCTCACAGCAGCGCTGTAATAAGTCGGCACATTATAAAGTTCTGCATGCACTCTCTGATTAAATTGCTGCCACTGCTCCATCAGAAGCACTGCATCATTTCTAATGCACATGAAGTTGGAGAAAATTCCCCTTATCAGTTTTTTTTCAATGTTATATAAAAAAAAAAACACACTTGCAGAGCTGCTGTTTAAACGGAGTGTATTACACCACTGTGGGTGGGATCTGTAGCATTTTGACTCTGTTTCTGTAGTGTGAGTGAAATAGCTGCTTAACAGACTTCTGCAGATTTTCATCTCTAACCTGCATCTCTTTCTTCTTGAATGACCTATCGAGTGGATCCGTTTGCTGATGAACTCCATTCTGTTGTCTAAAACCAATATCTCTCTAAAAGGTTTGGTTTCGATTCTCTTCTGAAGCCTTTATCGTGTAGAATAAGGGGTTAATCAGCGGATTAACTGAAGTTTATAATTCTTATAATTTGAACATTTCTTACTGTAAATAGGAGGATTTAGTTTTTATGTTACAGTAGCATCAACTATTTACCTCTGGGTTTGAGTTAAGACTTCCAACCCAAAGATGGCTTCAGAACAGAATAGAACCAGACCTCATTTTAACTGTAGGGCAAAGTTATTGACTGACTTCCATGTGTTTTTAACTCTTCTCCTTTTAGCAAAAAGGAAATGATCAAAATAAATAGATGCTTCATAACTAACTTGTTTATAAGCCAACTATGGAGATCCTATTTCTTTCAATCGGACTTTTGCTTTAGACCGTTAAACAATAGTACAAAATGTCATTCTTTGAATGAATAATTTGAACTGTTCTTTTGCAGCGATGGGCTAATGAAACAACAAACAAGTTTTTAAAAACAGGGATTTGACATAAACTGTTTATTATTGTAGGATTTCTCTGTAGATGTTCCCTGTTTTATTTGCTTATTACTTCAAACAAAAGTTTGAGAATTTGTCTTGACGTCAGCAACCTTCAGTGGAATGTTTGGTTTACTAACTCTTCTGGGGCAAATTAGTGGAGCTCATTTGTGTTGTCTAGGTTTTATGGCAGAGGCCTCAGACCATCCAGCTGGTTTATCTAATCTAAAACCAGTTTTTGTGTTTTCAAAATCAATTTGTTTGAGCCAAAGTCCGACCTCTAATGACAAGATGGTCGGACCCTAAACTGTAAGATGATGAAATGTTTATGTCTCTGTAAAGTGTGAAGCCAGTTTACTGTCTACATAGACTGTAAGGATTCTAAAATCAGGGAAATAATGACCTCCCAGCAAAACAAATTATTGTAACTGGCATAAATTAACAAATTGTTAATATTTATTAATATTAATTATTGAAGTTGTTTGTTGCATAACAAGACCTCTCAAAAATAAAAGCATGGAAGACCTGCAGTGAATTTTAACATGAATGAATATCATAAAGAGACTGTTTAATGTTCTAAAGCAAACATTTCATATTGTTCTTGTCCTTCCTGCATGTTTCCCAGATGGAGCAGGCAAAGCAGGAGCTGAGTCGTAAAGACAGCGAGCTGCTGGCTCTCAGGACCAAACTGGAAACTTTAAACAATCAGTTTTCTGACAGCAAACAGCATGTGGACGTACTCAAAGAGTCACTCACCGCCAAGGAGCAGAGAGCTGCCATACTTCAGACCGAGGTAAACCTTTTATTTCTCACTTACCGCCGTTTATTCGTGTTTGATCTGTGCTTTATTTCTACTAGCTGGATCTTGTTTCTACTCAGGTGGATGCTCTGCGTCTCCGTCTGGAAGAAAAGGAGTCTCTCCTCTCAAAAAAGAGTCAGCAGATCTCGGAGCTGACGGAGGAGAAAAGCACTCAGCAAGGAGAGATCACTGATCTCAAAGACATGCTGGATGTTAAGGAGCGCAAAGTTAATGTGCTACAGAAAAAGGTGAGGAGCCTGATCCTGTGCATCCAACAAACCCTTTAAACTCTTTTGCAAACTAAGAGAATTCACAAATACAGTAAAGTTAAACCTTAAATGTAAGGAAACTACATGGGAAAATGAGTTAAGCTGACAGCATTAAGGATTGGGTGCTGTAAAAGAAAACAAGAAACAAACTAAGTAGATCAAATCAGTTAAGAGAACCTACGTTGTGTAGCTAAACAAGAGCATCTCCACTAGCAACCCACCAGCTATTTAAAACGTCTTAACCCTTTATGGGGCAAGTTGACATTTTTTATTCACTTGTATATATCACTAATGAATGGAGTCCCTCCATCTGTCAGTGAAGTCTAGAAGCACAATATATATCCAGCTATTCAGCAAAGATTCACATAATTTTGGTATTTGATCTGTTAAATGAGCCTTTGAAAGATATGTTACCTACAGTAAATTAATTTGAAAAAATATAGGTTAATAAATCAGATGAAAAAGTTAAATGCTAATTAAAAAATAAGAGGTTCTTATTTAAAAAGTAGAAAATGCAAGTTCTTGCATTGGCATTAATGTTCTAAGGTTATTTTTAACAAAAAAATATTTCCGTCACTCTTGAGCATTTTTCAATAATTTATTCAAAAAGAACCTTTGTTATTTTTTTTAATATATTAAGGAATGTTTCTTATTACATGGCCTCTGATTTTTGCCATAGAAATATGCTTTTTTATGTTACAAAAAAGGTCTTGTTCTATCTTCCGATAGCTCTCTTAGCTTAAAATTTAGATTTCCAAGGTATTTCAGTGAGTGCCCTATAAATTGTTAAAAACATCCCCAACTACCATCCTCCAAATCAGATCTGAATCTTAGTCTGACCTTAGATCTTCTTCTCAAATAGGTGTAAACATCCCACCTACTTGGAATTTACAAAACTATTTACAAAACACAACTACAACAGTCTGTTGCAGTAGGTGTTCCCTCTCGGGAGCAGTTACAGGGTTGTTCATGTGCTCTATTTTTAAACGTGGAGAGGGCGAGTCTTTTCAAAAATTCGCCAAATATTTCCACCATTCCTTTAATGCTATTTGGGGAAATAACTTTTTAGGTGCATTACCACCAGCTGGTAAGTAGTTTAACAGCTTCACCAAGGTGTTCCTACTCGTAAATTTGTGATTTTTATCTTTATTGATTTACATTTTTAAATTCAAGCATACTTACATTTTTATTAAAGGCTATCTTACCCCATTGACATCATCCAGCCCAAGGTTAAGGTGATTTCAGAAGCTTAAATTTAGCCACTTTTAGGATGTGTTTAGTATTCCTACCCTGTTTAAAGGCAATTGAATGCTAAAGCAATTTTAAAATTTGTTTGAGCCTGTGTGGATTGGAGGACATTAAAAAAAAAAATGATTAAACTTCTGCACACACGTCCTTTTCCTAAATATGTTTGATCTTTTTCTCTACCTTTAAAAAACAAACAAACTTATATTTAATAAGTCTGTATACAACAAGCGTTTGTCTTAGTAGTGTTTACTCAGTCTCTTTTGACCCTGAAAATTATTTTTGCACCATAAAAAACACATTTTTGCAGTACTTACTCACACATCCATCAACTTAACAGCTTTGATACTTTTAGCTCCTGCATCAGTAAACACCAATGTTAATATAGTTTTTTGAGAACTACTCATGTTTCATCCCTACAAAATCAATTTTTATTTTTTATTTTTTTTTTTACATCTTTGGAATTTTCCTTTTTCTGATCAGCATATAGGACAGGTGAGAGATCTATAGTTTCAAAATATAAAAAAGTTTTTGTTAATCTGTTTCTGATGTTAGCCACTAGATGGCGGTGTAGGACAGAGAAGAGGCTGGTCGTTCTGCAGGTTAGAAAAAGTGGCATGTGTGGGAGGATCTCATTGGAAATAATGTTTGATAGGCAGTCTTGATTATCCATTCCTATATATATTATAAAATTAACTGGAATAAAGTAATTAGGGGATAACAAGCTTAGGAAGACGCGGTATTGTCCCCTTTATTATAATCCTGTCTCCTGTATTTTTGCTTTTCCTCTCCAAACCCTCATTTTTAACCTTTTTCTCTATCTTAGCTGAGGAACATGTCAGAATATTAAAGATATGTGTGGATAATCGATATGCAAAATCAAACGGGCAGATATAAAGCAGAGACACGGAGGGGGAGGAGAGAGACATGGTGCGTTTAAAATCTGATGCATACTAATGACTTCCTCTTGTTTAATAAATGATGACCTCTGCTGTCTTCAAAAAGAATACAGTTCAGAGCAGGCATGTGAGAGACGCTGCTGTTTCCTGCTCCTTGATTTCCTCATTTCCTCTCTTTATTCTTGCTTTTTTTACACCCTTTCCTATGTTTTAACTTGCTCCTTGTAAGTGAATTACCAGGAACGTAGAGCCGATTAGTAGCAAAGGTATCCGTGTGATCTTCTTTGGGCTGAAATAGAAGGAGAAGAATGCGCAGACGGCGTTTCTATATGTATATAAGTGTGGCGCTCATTTGCCATCAAGATCAAAGCGACCCGCAGCCTCTCAATGTCAAGTGTGAGGGCTCCTCTGTGTGTGTGCAGGAGTGTGAGGAGGAGGAGGACGTGTCAGTCAAGCTGTCAGACTAACGGTTGATTAATGAGGTGCTTGAAATGTTTTACTGTATGAACACACACTTTTCTCCACTGCTGGAAATGTGCATCTCTCACCTGCAGAGGAGGTTACACATCAAGTTTTTTTTTTTCCTCTCTTATTTTTTGAGTGATGCTGCCAGTTTTTCCAGATAGAAATCCAAAAATGTAGACAATTAGAAACGTAAAAATAACTTTTGCACTTCTTCCAACCAGCTATATATGACACCCGAACATTGTTTTTTAAAGATTGTTGTTTTTTTCTTGACTGTTTTACCTGTTGCTCATCACCTGTATTTATTTGATGTCTCTACTATTCCAGTATTTGACTGAAGTATAGTTGTTTTGGGTGGAAAGTAGGGCTTAACCAATTAATCGGATTTTATCGTGATTAATCGATTATTGGAATAATTGTCAACTTTTTTAGTAATAGATGAATCATTAACTGGAGTATAGGGACTGAAAAAATGTATTTAGCTGACAGAGCAACTTAGAGCAGGAACTACACTAAGATATATAAGAAAATATGTGGCATCAATGACAAAAAATATATTTCTTTAGGTTCAAACTCAAGGTTTCCTCTCCCAATAGCATGGTAGAGGCTGCGTCATGCTAAGGGTCATCAGCTTGTTTGAATCGAAGATTGTTTGAAATAGAGGAATTTAGGGCTTAAACAATTAATCTGATTAATTGATTATTAAAATAATCATTAATTAATTTAGATATTATAGGTAATATAGGTTTTAAAACATGCATTTAGCTGACAAAGAAGCCCATCTTGAGTGGCAGTAATACAAAATTGTAAAAAAAAGTTTTGAAAAAAGTTTTCGTTTATCAATCTATCTCTATCCAGAACTCCTCATGTGGAAAAGTTTTAGTTTCACCTGTTTTAATTCCGCAAAAAGTCTTTTTAAAGGAGCATTTGGCTATTGATTATTAATTGATGAATCAAAAAAATTATCCACAGATTAATCAATTTGCTAAATAAATGTAGGGGTAGTCCTAGTGGAAAGAATTGATTGTCTTCAATAATCTTACCAAATATGTCTGATTGGATTTAATTCTGCAATTGGCCGGATTATCCTAATGTCTGGTGATGCTTTGATCTAAACCATTTGATCTGTTGCTCTGATAAAAATGTTAAGCTTGTCAGGTTAAGCGTCTTCTATAGGTGTTCCCTCAGCGTTATAAATATATCATCTTTTCTACAGTTCTGTCCAGCTCCCATTTCTCTGCTGAAGTAAAACATCTCTATAACATCATGTCATCATCATCAAAATGTATTGTGGTTTAAGGGTTATTGGTAATTTCAGCTGTTTACCATGTATGGTATTTTATATTTAAGCCAAAATGTTGAAATTAATCTATTCTGGTCTGATCTTCCTCACTTTGATGGTGTGTTGTGCTATTTCTGGGCCACTAGTGCATAAAGGCCACAACAACTACACTAGCTGTTATTTTTCAGGCAAAACATTAAAGAGTCAATAAGATGCATTGGAGTTTATTTGATCTATCAGAGCTGAGTACATTTATATAAGTATGCTTTCTGATTTTAACTTTTATAAAAAAAAAACATAACCTATTAATTAGAGCTGAAACAATTAATCGGATTAATATCAACTAATTTAGTAATCGATGAATCGTTAACTGGAGTATTGAGGATCTAAAACATACATTTAGCCAACAGAACAACAGTAATTATATCAAAATTGTATATTAAGGAATAAATATTTTATCTTTAAGATAAAGTTGCTATATCCAGAACTCCTCAAGTGGAAAAGTTTTAGTTTCACTTGGTTTAATTTTGTTAAAAAAAGGAACCTTTTGCTATCTGATTATTAATTGATTAATTGGAAAAATTATCAGCAGATTAATCAATTTGCAAAATAATCATTAGCTGCAGCCTTACTATTAATTTTCTTTATAATTAACAATTTTCCACTACAGTTTGCTTGTGTGTAGAAAAAAAAATCTGGTTCTAATAAGATAAAGTGTTTAAAATTTAAGGTGTACTATTCCGTTTTGGGAGATACTGTGTTTTTCATCTAGATTATATCTGGTAGTTTGGTGTTTTAGGGGAGAAACATCAATGTTTTACCAAATCATAACTGGAATACAAGGGTTGAGAAGGAAAGGAGAATAAGGAGAGAAATGTGTATTTGGATTGTGGGTTAAAGGGAGCAAAGTGAGAGGTTGTATATGAAATCCTACCTCTCACTCTTCAATTGCCTGAAACTTGCAGAAAGAAGTGATTCTATTTTTGTTTCAGAGGCTTGTGAGAAATTTAGTTTGCTTTTTTTAAGAGAAAATTGTTTTGCTTCGAAAAGAATTTGAAATAGGAGAAAAGAAATGAAAAGAAGGGAAAGTTACTATAGAAATAAGCTTTAAGGTATTAAAGGTTTAGTTTGATATACAGTGCCTTGTCTTTCTCTTTTGGTTGTGAAACAGGAACCAGATGTTTTAATACTTTCAATATATGTGGTTTTATCACATTATCACCAAATGTGTCAGATTTTTTTTTATTGGGGTTTTATTTTATTAACTCAAAGACGCAGATAAGGCTCCAATGCAATTATAGATGCAAGTAATTGACTTTTAAACCTCTGACCTTTAAGAACAGCTGGATTTATACTTGAGACTGGATTACACACAGCTGGATTAGAACATGTGTGACTTCTAGCAGAGATTGCAGCCCTGGATTGAGTTTAGAATTAGCTAAAAACTTGACTGACATGTTTTCTAAAGGAGACTGTGCTTATATATTTCAATTTAAAGCCTAGTTCATAAGTTTTAGATGTGTTTACATTTGCAGTTATTCCAAAAGTATGTAAGTTAGTACATTCTAAATCCAAAGCATAGAGATTATCAATAAAAGTGGCTAACTTTACATGTTTTAATGCTTTCTTGGAGGTGGTAAAATGTTTTTAAAATAAGCTGAGACGATTTTACAATCTCCTCGTTCAAAAGATGCTTCACAAGTTCTCCTTATTTCATTATTGCTTAACAAAAAATTATTTCTTTGGTCACTTTATGTTCTTAAAATGATTTAAAACAATATTAGTTTTATTTTAATTCAAATTAACATTATTAGCTTTTTTCTCTCCTGTTATTGCTAGTTCTTATGATTTATTTTTGAAAGTTCTGGAGGCGATATACGTGTCAAAAATAAATATTTCTTTAAGTAACATAATTGAAATTATCTTTTGGCTCATTTAGAGACTGAAAAAACATTTGTAGATGTTTAGCTTTGTGTTTTCAGGTAGTATTCTCTATGTTAGGAACTCCTGGAGCAAAAACACTAGCCCAAAAATTTTAATTCTCAATGTTCGGCAATGAAATATGCATAAAAACTAGTGTAGCTGATGATTGTTTCCGTCTGCAGATAGAGAACCTCCAGGATCAGCTGCGGGATAAGGAAAAACAGCTGAGCGGCCTGAAAGACAGAGTCAAGTCTTTGCAGACGGACACGTCCAACACCGACACCGCGCTGGGAACGCTGGAGGAAGCTCTGGCTGAGAAGGTACACATACACAGACGCACGTACGTGAACACATCGACGCCCACCGCTGGTCAACCTCAGGTCAGCGCCCGAGCAAGGTTACATTAATAAAAGCTTTATGAGCAAAACCACCGACCACCCACATGTTGACCCGGTGACTCGAAATAAATGGAAATGAACCAATAATTACACTAGCTGTCATAATATGAAATTATTCACAGGCTGTTTTTATAAAACACAAGGAGCCGGCCGGCATGCAGCCACATGGCTCAGATTTACCCATTGATCACTGTTTATGTGTGAACATTTAGGTTCAAAACTGCATTGAAGGGTTTATGACTCTGCAGGCTGCTTTTTCAGGGGACCCCCGCTTTAATTCTCAGAAAATAAAACCATTAAAGTTTTAGTTTTTTACTCTTATAGATGATTATGTTATAAACTCTATCCTCTTTGGCCCTTCAAACACACTCAGGAAGCACGCTTTGAATTGACCAATGACTGATATTCACGGTGTCGGGGAGGTGTGTGATTGTTGGCAGGAAGAAGCAGCTGACAAACTCCTGCTATCCAACCTCCTTCCCTTTTATTTCCATCCCTTCTCTGCTTTCTGACCTGTTTTTTACATTCAAGCCTTTCAACATTTCTTCTCCTACATTCATTAGTGTGTACTCTTTAGCCTTTTGCTTTTTTTTTTTAATTCTTTTTAGGTGTGTGAACTTTTCTTTTCTTTGAACTGGCCGTTCTGTTGTCCTGTAGCTATAGAGATGGGACTTTCTGTTTTACTGCTTGCAAATTCTACATTTTGCGCCAAAGTACATTACGTATGTAAAATCACCCTTGGCTGTCAGAGCCTGTCAAAGCTGCCATGTACATAAACTTTAATGTGACAGTTATTAGTAGAGAAATTTGATATTAAGTGACGGTGAATGCTTCTTGGAAACTAAAAGGTGTTTTATTCTCTTTTTCTTTAATGGCTCTTTCACATTGTCCGCTTTCCTTCTCCATTCTGTTATCTTTCTTTTTCTGAATGGATTGTTTTTTTTTTTTTTGTCTAACTTAGTAGTTTCTGTTTTATTTCATTCACCAGGAGCGGATAATAGAGCGACTGAAGGAGCAGCGAGAAAAGGAGGAGAGAGAAAAGGGAGATGAGATGGAGACCAGTAAGAAGGAGCTGAAGGAGCTGAGAGAAAAGGTCTCTCAGCTGCAGGCTGAACTGGCTGATCGGGAGGTAAAATCTCCACAAAAACTCGGAAAACTTGGTTTTAATGCAAACCAACTTGATATGTCGCAGGAGAAAAGCCTTACTGTAAATCTATTTTAAATGTGTGAAATGCACAGATAAACAGTTAGAAACAATGATCTATTTTCCAGTTGTGACCCTTGTGAGCTGCACAGGGCTGTAGGAAGAGAGATGAAGCATTTACTCGCTTCATTTTCCTTGTTTTCACCCCAGAGCTGTCGGGAAGCACAGCAGGAAAGTTATAGCTGACTATGTCAGGAAAACCACGAGTAATTAAAATGATTAGATTTCCAGAACTCTATAGGTGTCAATCTAGATAATCAATGCGGAAACATGTTGGTGAGATGGACAATAATACCCTTTGAAAGCATATTAATAACCAGATATGTGCTGATGAGGAAAAAAGGGACAAACAAAACGCCTCGATCCAAATCTAGGTTCTGTTGATGTAGAAATCTGCGGGTTTTTACCAGGTTTTATTTATTGAAGTTGAAACCGCAGCTTTGCAAAAACTATGGTTAGAAAACAAAGACAGTTTGGCAAAGCAGCATGTAAGGAAATTAAATAGACGATTTTATTGAATAGCTTGTAGAGCCATTTTTAGCAGCATAAGTCAAAGTAATGGTTTTCTATATGGCTTTATCGGCCCACTCTTCCCTGCTTTATTTTATTGAGATATACCCCCTCTCAGTTTTAACGTCACTGAGTCAATTTAACTTTATTTCTGGATCATCTTTCATACAAAGCAGCGAAAGGCAAAATGCTTCTTGCAGGAAAAAAAACACCTGACGTTTTTGTTTTGTTTCTTAAATAGGTACATTAGGAGTCAAATTGGGTAATAATATGATGCAGGATGTAAAAAATTATTTTTAAGATTTTTTAAGAACACTGAAGTTCTGTAAAGTAAATCTAAAATAAAATACAAAGATCCTGGCTGCACTTTAGTCATGCTGAGGTCCAAACTTTGACTCGGTTGCAACGTCTGGATTATTTTCCTCCTCTTTTTCTTTTAAACATTCTGAGATAAATGAAGGTCATGACTTTCTCTCAAAAGCTTATATGGCATATTTAACTTTTCTGCACATTTCAAGCTTTTCCTTATTTCTTTCATTACCAATGACTACATAGAATCTCTGTTAATTTCTATTGATCTAAGGTTGCATTTAAATCATTTCCAAACCTTAGATATTTCTTAAGTTTTGATGTGTTAAAGAGACACTTTCAAAGATAAAGATACGTGTGCAACAACTAATGTGCAATCACTATTTAATACCCTGTGCAATTACATCTTTTATATTTAATATCCAGTGCAATAACTATATATATATATATTTATATATAAATGCCTATTTATATAAACACCCATTAATACCCTGTTCAATCACCCTGTGTAATAATCCTTTTAAATAAGAGACTTATATATATATTTATGTGGAGGAACTGTATATACTGTATAAACCCCATGCACCTTTTCCTCCTTTTGACACCTTCTCCTTTGCAATATCAATAAAGCCTTATCAATCAATCAATCAATCAATGAATCAATATGGATAAAAAGCTTAGCTGTGCTAAGCTAAATTACGACAAGCTGGTATAAAAGGAGAAACTCATGTCCTGTTAATCTACTGGCAGCATGAAACTCTGTGGTAAAAGTACAAGTTTATTCTACTTTTGATCTCAAAATGCGTTTGCAAAGTTCACACAATCAAAATTTTACTTTTAAAAGTTAACGAGAGATATTTTTTGTGAAAATTCCTCTTTTTTGGGCTAATTTTAGTGATTGTGGGATCATAAAACCTGTCCGTTTGTGTTGAAAAATACACAGAGTCTCCCAAGAGAACAAGCATTCCTTTCTGCACTGCCGAACGCAGATGTGAGGTTTGTCTGACAACACCAGTGTATACACAACCCTAAATATACTCTGAGTAAGCAGGAAGGTTTCTCTGACCAAAACCCAGTCAAACATGATGATCTGAAGTCTGAAGTTGGTAAGGTCAGTCATGGGTGAAATTACATGTCTGAGCATCTCTCCTTCTGGTCCCGTTGGTTTCTGTTTCACTGTCTCTACCAAAAGAGAAGACGAGAAGGAAGGCGAGAGAGATTTTCACAGATGGAAGGATTGAGCCTAAAAGTGTGAGAAGAGCCAGGTCATAGGAAGTATTACATCCAGACAAGGAAAAAGGATAAATCCGTGTTAAACCACTTGACTTTGGGCTAAAAGGGCAAGACAAACTCCTCTCTTGTCGCAGATTCCACCCACCTTTGCACCGTCACACAACTTAGAAAAACTAATCAACCTAGCATGCATAACTGAAGACCGTGACGGGAAACTGGATCACCTGGAAAAAATCCATCCAGCAACAAACAAAGCATGCAAATTATAATCAGAAAGGTCCCAGTAAAGGTTTCCCTCAGGAACCTTTCTGTTGAAAGATGCTGCCAGGAAATAAGCAGGTTGGGATGTTTTTATAAGCTAAAATACTTTCAGCCTTTAAATGTGAACAAAGGGGAGGCAGATATGTGTTTACATGCAGTGCCATGGAAAACTATTCATACCTCTTTTAACCAAAAGAATCAAAACATGTAATTAGGATTTTAGATGACTTTGGTGAGTAACCTACAACACCTAGGAACACACGGAGATGGGTAAAGCTGTAAAGAAGTTTAAAGCAGTATGCTGGTGAAGATTATCAGTCTTTCAGGTTATAGTTATTCCAAAAGAAATTTAAAAAACAATCCACTGGACTTTGTTTCCACCTTTGAAGACGTTTCGCTTCCCATCCAGGAAACCTTTTCAATTCAAAATGCCAGAACTAGCGTTGAGTTTGAGGCTTTATAGAGTGGAACAAAACAAGGCGTAGTTTTGGCTTAGAAAACTTCCTAATTGAACCTGAGGAACGGTCCCCGGGCTGCTCAGTGGTGCAGTGGGTAGCACTGCTGCCTTGCAGCAAGAAGGTTCTGGGTTTGATTTCTGGCCCGGGGTCTTTCTGCATGGAGTTTGCATGTTCTTCCTGAGCATGCATGGGTTCTCTCCGGGTACTTCGGCTTCCTCCTACAGTCCAAAAACTTGACTGTTAGGTTAATTGGCTTCTCTAAATTGTCCTTAGTTGTGAGTGTGTGAGTAAATTTGTCCTGTTTGTCTCTGTGTTGCCCTGCGATGGACTGGTGACCTGTCTAGGGTGGACCCCGCCTCTCGCACGTAGACAGCTGGAGATAGGCACCCACACCCCTCGCGACCTCACTTGGGATTTAGCATGTAAAGAAGATGGATTGATGGATGGATGGAACGGGTCCCCCCCTTAGGAATGGGGGGTATTTGTGTTCTTTTTTTATCCTGCAATACCTGATACTGGTCTATGTCTCTGAAAGGGGGTCGTTAGGGGGGAATTGTTGGCCTGGCTGGACAGGCGAGATGTTTAAAGCAGGAATTGGATGGAAAAAATATATCAAGCTTTTCCTAAGGAAAGATGCCTGGTGAAAAAGCATTAATAAAAAGAAAGCCTCATGGTGCCTTTTGAGGAGCTGAAGAGATCCACATTTGGCCACAAACCTGATCCCAAAGCTGAAAGAAAGAAGTACCATGTAGGAGACAAAAGAAGGGCTTCATGGTCACATGATATCTAAATTTAAAATGTTGAGTTGGGGTTTCAGGTTAACAGAAATCCAGAGAAGAAAAAACTGAATGAATCTGTAAAGGACAGAAACTGAAGGTCTGTTTTCCAGCAGGATCTCCACCTTAACCTACAGCAAAGCTACAAAAGAATGGTTAATATCAAAGCAAACTCATGTCCTGTCAAAACCCAGACCCAAATCAAGATGAGACCCCTGATAAGAACTGGAAATAGCTGTTCACAGACGCCCTCCATCCAACGGAGACCATCTGGACTGTTTTTTTTTTAAAGAGAAATAGGCAGAAAGGTTCAGTCTCCTGACGTACAAAGCTGCTAGAGACTTTAAGGGACTCGCAGCTGTAGTTGCTTCAAACGGTGGTTTTAGAAAATGTCTACTCAGCAGGGCTGAATAATGATGACGAACACCAATCTTTCGAGATATTTATTCATACAAGACTTTAAAATAACATGGTTTTCCATCCACTTCTCAGTTGCTGTATAGTTGGAACTTATGAGCTACGACTGTCTAGAACATAAAAGATAAATAAAATGCATTGAGGTCTAAGGTTCTACTGTAACTTCATATATTCTATCCATTTGCTCATCCATCCACTATGGAACAAATTTCAGTATATTTTTCTGAGAAGATATTATTAAAAGGAGGGAAATGTTCTCTGGTAAAAGATTTTAGTAACAAAACGAATCTTTTAGCATCAATCAAGTCCCTATTTATTTACCTAATTTCCCTTTTCATTAATAACTTATGACTAATTACTTTAGGCCAGCTTTAGACAACTTTTATTAGATTGACTGCTGTATGTTTGCACCATATATGTTTAATGCTCTGCACCTCTGTATCGATGCGGTTTTGCAACAGTTTTTTTTTTCTTTCTTTCGCACTGTTTACATTTGATCACTGCTGCACTTTATGAAACTGAAATGTTCTTAAAGCTGCACAAAACAGAGTTTCGTTTTGTTTACACTTTGTGTATGCAAGATAACAATAAAAGCTGTCTAAGTTGAAGTCTAAATTAAAATGGGATTCATCTTGTTCCCTTTAACTGTTTCTCTTCATCCTGGTAATCATTTCCCTTTAGACCTCGGTGTTGGATCTGAAAGAAAAGGCCTCCTCACTTGCATCCTCAACTCTAAAGAAGGAAAACAGGCTGAAGAATCTAGAAATCAATCTGGAACAGAAGAAGGAAGAGTGCATCAAACTGGAGAACCAGCTCAAAAAGGTTAGTGGATTCTGGCCTGTGGATGAAAGGAGATAATTATGTTTTCATTCCTAATATTTCCTTGTCTTATAGAAAGGGAGGGAAATGAAAATACATTTGTATGTGTGTGTTTGCGCTTGCTTGTGTATCAGATGTCTTCTCCCTCACAGTAGAGAAGTGTGTGTATGTGTGACAGCCTGCTGACAGCCTTACAGTCATTTTCACAGGCTCGGGAAGACATCACCACCATGACACCCTGAGTGTGTTTGGCTGTGTGTGTGTTAACATGTGAAAAAATGTGAGAAACAGAGAAAAGAAGAATATGTACGAACATGTCTGTGCAGCGTTTCCCCTCGCCAGCCTTTATTTTTAGTCTCTTTCTTTTTCCCCCACAATGGATGGAGGTAAGATGCAAGACTTTCCGCCGTATTTCTTTACTCCACCAAGTTCCTAGTATATCGTGAGCCACCCAAACATTTCCTCTCCACATAAGGAGCTGTTAAAATTGTCGTCCATTTCCAAAACTAATAGGGGTTTATGTATTGTTGGACCAGGGCGCACGCACATAGACGCGCACACACACACAGCGTCAATCTGTCCCAAGAGCAACATTTACTTCTGGGAAAACACACAGCTGTTCTAACCTCTAAGCTGGTTTTAACCTGTTGTATTTTTCTTTTATCTATTTTTTCTTCTGCAACCAATTTGTTCCATCATTACAGCTGAGTTAAAAAGAAAAAAAAAGATAAAAACCACTTGAATTGACTGTAATTTGCCCCTTGGAGTTCAGAAATATGATGTCCATAACAAGAAGCTTCAGCTTTGATGTTTAAACTTAGCTCAACTAGACACGAACAATATTTCAGACTAAATTACAGTTATTGGCTATGCAGAGACATTAAAAAAATGTTTTAGTAACACAATGATAATTTAGCATCAATCAATCCCTATTTATTTACCTAACTTTTCAATAATTTCTTATGTCTAATTACTGTAGGTCAGCTTTAAAATGTGAAGATAAATTAATATACCATAAGACATGATGATTTTAACCTATCAGGAAATGCCTGCAGTAGAACTTTCCACTGGCATACACGTTCGCATATCTTTAGTGACACTAAAAAATGCTAAACAATATACTTTAAATCTATAAATGGAATGACTTAATTGCTTTTCCTGAACCGTAGTGAAGACTTTCCCCATGCAAATGTGATGATTTATGACCGCGTCCCAGTCAAACATTTACACAACCCTGAGCCTCAGCTGTGTTTATGTGCTTATTAACACATTTTTATAAGCGAGCATGAAAAAAACTGGGAATGTGAAATGAAACAAGGTGACATGGTGACTTCTGACTGCACCAACAGTGGAGGTGGAATTTTCACATTAAACAGGAAGTGAGAAAAGGGGGGGAGGAAGCATCCGATATCCAAAAAATAAAATATGTGGCATCAGTGACAAAAAGTATACTTGGAGGAGTTTAGGTTCTAACTTGAAGGGCCTCTCCCAATAGCATGGTAGAGGCTGCGTCATGCTAAGGGTCATCAGCTTGTATGAATCTAAGATTGTTCAAAATAAAGGAATTTAGGGCTGAAAAATTAATCTGATTAATTTTGAATAATCATTTATTAATTGAGTAATCAATTAATTGTTAACTGGAAGACATAGATTTTAAAACGCGCCTTTAGCTGATAAAGCGACCCACCTTGAGTGGCAGTAATACCAAAATTGTAAAAAAGATTTTAAAAAAGTTTTTTGTCAATATGCTCTATCCAGAAATCCTTAAATGGAAAAGTTTTAGTTTCACCTGGTTTGATTTAGTAAAAAAATATTTTTTAAGGAACCTTTGGCTATCCGATTATTAATCAATAAAACAAAAAAAAAAATCAACAGATTAATCAATTTGCAAAATAATCATTAGTTGTAGCTCTATAGGAATTTCTTTATATGAAGGTTCAAATATAAAGTGTCTTTAGAGCGGCGTTTTAATTTTGTGGCTCCATTAGTCCCCTGAGGATGTATCTGTTTCACCTCCCAGCTCTCACATTAGGCCAAGCACATTTATTCTGGGTCGAGTATTGTTTTGATCAAACGGTGGTCCGCTTATTTTGAAAGCCAATGCTTGGTTTATTTTTAATAATAATTTTCTGTTCCAGGCTCAAAGTGCAGCGGCAGAGTCCCAGGCCAACACTGAACTTACTGAACGCATCTCGTCCCTGGAGCAGGAAGTGACCCGGTGCAGAGAGGAGGCTGGGAAGGCACAGTCGGAGGTGGAGCGACTTCTGGAGATCCTTAGGGAGATGGAGAATGAAAAGAACGACAAGGAGAAAAAGATCCATGAGTTGGAGAGGTGAGAGAGAAGAATTAGATTTGTTAGGGAAACAAAATCAACCATTTCTAACTCTTTCCTGATTTTTTTCCTTCTTATTTCAGCATAAAAGTAAGAAGGAAAAACTGAGTAATTAAAACAAAACGACTTTAATTTCCATTCGTTCCTCGTCTGCTTAGTTTTAAACAACATAATGCTGAAGTTGATGGAAATCTCTGGTATAAATGACACGTTATTTATCACTGTATTATTTTCCCCCTCCCCTTCTTCTGCTTTCCTTTACATGTCAACTCTTTTCTTCATGTATGCGTGTGTGTTCAAACTTATACTCATTTATGTTTGAACTGGGATGAGTGCGTTTATGTCTGCCTGTATGACTCATAACATCTCAGAAATCCTTCAGCTTCTCATCTGTGGCGCTCGCAAAAACAGGCCCCTCCCCCGGCTGCCTCTCAGCAGCCAATGGGGGGGCTGGTGTGGGACTACTTGGGCACGTGAGTGGCTGGTGGCCCCTTTCGGTTAACTCGAGACCACTGCACGATAAGGGCACGATTATTACAACCACCCATGTGGAAAAGTCCTTGAGAAGCTGCTGCTTGATAACAGGATGCTGTTTAAAGTATCATAACCACAAGCTGGGATCCTACAGAGCCTTGCAAAAGCGCTGATCATTTTTAACAAGGTTTCTCAGATGACAATCACACACATCTGTGTTTTTTTTTTTTTTATGTAAAACACAAAATGCATCAGTGAAAATGCAAAGCATGCCTAGTTTTGTGTGGTGGAGGTCCATTTGTTTTCAGCCTTTCTTCAAAGTAAAGTCTTTACCAGCTTTGCATTTTGACCTTTAACTGTTTCTAAAATAGCTCAGGCTCTGCAGACAAATTTTTGCCTGTCTATGATATAAAATCCTTATAAAATTGCCCAAAATGTGCAAAGATTTAAGGGATGTAACTACTTTTGCAAGCCGTAGGTAATGTACCTGTAAGGTCCTTATTTGGCTCCATTTTGCACAATTAACAGTAGACTCGACCAAGGTTAAAACGGCAGTAATATCTTTGGTTGTGTAAACTTTCAGAATTTAAGCTTAAGGTGACATATTTGTCTTTTCCACATGGGCCGGGCTGAGTACGTATGCTCACTAATAATCACCAACAAAGAGTTGTGGCATTGGCTCATTACTCACAAATCACACTTTATTGCACATTTGGACAGCTCCGTCTCTGGAATCCAGAAATTGTGCTCACTTGTACGCTGACACACACTCCACATTAGCAGAGTTTGGGTCGTCTGTTGCTGCGGCATGACAAGCCAAACAGCTTTGTAAAATGAGGCGCTGCTGTTGCTGCCTGGCCTGGCGCTCTCTGAGCCTCTGTTCTTGTCAATGATGCAACTCTTTTTATTAAGTTTGCGGTTCTGTTCTCTGGCTTCACTTTTGCTTAACTTTCAGCAGAGGATGCTTGACTTTAAACTTCTAACTCACCTTTTTTTTTTATCTTGTATTACGAATGTAAAGGTTAACTAATATTATGTGTTTCTAACCTCTTTTCAATTATCTATTTCATTTTGGATCAATCACCTCTCTGTCTTCCACAAAACCTTATGTTTACCTTTTAAATTATTTTTATCTGTCAGATCGTCTGCCTGTTTCCTCTGCATGCTGTTCTAACTCTTGTACTTGTCTCTTACTAGGGCTAGGCAATAAAACAATGTCAATATACACTATATTGCCAAAAGTATTTGCTCACCCATCCAAATTATTGGAATCAGGTGTTCCAATCACTTCCATGGCCACAGGTGTATAAATTCAAGCACCTAGGCATGCAGACTGTTTTTACAAACATTTGTGAAAGAATGGGTCGCTCTCAGGAGCTCAGTGAATTCCAGCGTGGAACTGTGATAGGATGCCACCTGTGCAACAAATCCAGTCGTGAAATTTCCTCGCTCCTAAATATTCCACGGTCAACTGTCAGCTGTATTATAAGAAAATGGAAGTGTTTGGGAACGACAGCAACTCAGCCACGAAGTGGTAGGCCACGTAAACTGACGGAGCGGGGTCAGCGGATGCTGACGCGCATAGTGCGAAGAGGTCGCCAACTTTCTGCAGAGTCAATCACTACAGACCTCCAAACTTCATGTGGCCTTCAGATTAGCTCAAGAACAGTGCGCAGAGAGCTTCATGGAATGGGTTTCCATGGTCGAGCAGCTGCATCCAAGCCATACATCACCAAGTGCAATGCAAAGCGTCGGATGCGGTGGTGTAAAGCACGCCGCCACTGGACTCTAGAGCAGTGGAGACGCGTTCTCTGGAGTGACGAATCGCGCTTCTCCATCTGGCAATCTGATGGACGGGTCTGGGTTTGGCGGTTGCCAGGAGAACGGTACTTGTCTGACTGCATTGTGCCAAGTGTAAAGTTTGGTGGAGGGGGGATTATGGTGTGAGGTTGTTTTTCAGGAGCTGGGCTTGGCCCCTTAGTTCCAGTGAAAGGAACTCTGAATGCTTCAGCATACCAAGACATTTTGGACAATTCCATGCTCCCAACTTTGTGGGAACAGTTTGGAGCTGGCCCCTTCCTCTTCCAACATGACTGTGCACCAGTGCACAAAGCAAGGTCCATAAAGACATGGATGACAGAGTCTGGTGTGGATGAACTTGACTGGCCTGCACAGAGTCCTGACCTCAACCCGATAGAACACCTTTGGGATGAATTAGAGCGGAGACTGAGAGCCAGGCCTTCTCGTCCAACATCAGTGTGCGACCTCACAAATGCGCTTCTGGAAGAATGGTCAAAAATTCCCATAAACACACTCCTAAACCTTGTGGACAGCCTTCCCAGAAGAGTTGAAGCTGTTCTAGCTGCAAAGGGTGGACCGACGTCATATTGAACCCTATGGATTAGGAACGGGATGTCACTTAAGCTCATATGTGAGTCAAGGCAGGTGAGCAAATACTTTTGGCAATATAGTGTATGTCACAATAGACATTTGAATTATTGTCACAATATAATTTGAATTCTGACAAAACTGCACAGCATTCTGGGTAATATAAGCAGAGAAAAGCTTTGCCGTCAAGTTAAACACTGTTAATGGAGGGTTAAACTCTTAAAGGTTTAAATACTGTAGGGTTTGGATTGCAACTCAAGTTCTTGCTTTTTTCCCCCCAATGAGTAAAACAAAAATATTTTATAATTATATGTACTCGTACTCGTACTCGTACTCGTCGTCTCCCGCTTTATCCGGAACCGGGTCGCGGGGGCAGCAGACTAAGCAGAGACTCCCAGACTTCCCTCTCCGCAGACACCTCCTCCAGCTCTGTTGAGGGAAGCCCTAGGCGCTCCCAGGCCAGCCGAGAGACGTAGTCTCTCCAGCGTGTCCTGGGCCGTCCCCTGGGCCTCCTCCCAGTGGGACGTGCCTGGAACACCTCCCGAGGGAGGCGTCCAGGGGGCATCCGAAGAAGATGTCCGAGCCACCTCAACTGACTCCTCTCGATGTGGAGGAGAACCGGCTCTACACTGAGCCTCTCCCGAATGACCGAGCTCCTCACCCTATCTCTAAGGGAGAGCCCAGCCACCCTGCGGAGGAAGCTCATTTCAGCCGCTTGTATCCGGGATCTCGTTCTTTCGGTCATGATCCAAATTTCATGACCATAGGTGAGGGTAGGAAAGTAGACCGAACGGTAAATTGAGAGCTTTGCCTTTTCGCTCAGCTCTCTCTTCACCACGACAGACCGGTGCAGCGTCCGCATTATTGCAGCAGCCGCACCGATCCGTCTATCGATCTCCCGCTCCATTCTTCCCTCACTCGTAATTATATGTATTGACTAATAAACATGTTGGTTGTGTTGGAGCATTTTTTTTGTTCCTTTTTTTGCATAATGGAAAACTAAAGAGATTCCATCCATTCATCAACACATATAAAATGGGCTGCAACCCTATTTTTAGATTAGATGGGATCAAAACTTTTTGATAAAACTTGTCACCTAATTGTATTGGCATTTTCCTCTGCGAAGAATTTAATATTCTAATATATTAATCTTTCGAATAATGTACCGACTCAGAGACCAAGAATAAAAGTTAACAGGTTTATTGAAGGTTGGCAAAGAAACACAGATGGAGAGTGATGTTCTGCTGGGTTATGTCGGACCTCAGTGAACACGTGAACCGGAACCAGAAACACTGAAGGGAAGATCACTATGATCAGTTCAGGGACCGTGAGAAAAAAGGACTGAGGCTTGTATTTTACTGGAGTGGCACTCACGCTTTGGTTATTCCTTGGTTCCAGTTTGTGGAGTTTAATCCAGAGAAGAAGGAACTCATTGGAAAGCAGACAGACAGACTAACGTTGGACTCAGGGGAGTAAAGGAGCGGACTGTCACCTGGTTTTCCAGTAGTGGACTTGAACGGATCATGTGGAGATTTCCCCTTGCTCAGTGTGACTCAGATAATCATTCCAGGGGGGTAGAAGGTCCAGGCTGATCCAGTGTTTCAGGAAGGCTTCCTGCCGAAGAACAATGACAAAACAAGCTTAGACTCAGAGAGACCAGACTAAGGTTAGACTCTGCTAATCTCAGAGTCTAACCTCTAGAGTAGCCAATACTGGCAAACACTCTGGTGTCGAGGTAGTGACAGCCCACTGCTCAAATACTCCTCTGGTAATGACCCAACGAGCCGCAGGTTGTCAAGGCCCAACGAGGACAGGGCACCATCTGGTGGTGGAGAGAAGAAAAAACACAAAAACAACCCACACAAACTGGAATCCTAACAGTTATGGGGTTTCTTGTGTTTACATCTTGTCATTATTGTGGCATTCTGATATCAAAAAATGTCATTACATGCTGTTTAAAAAACTCTTTAGGAGTAAAGTACACTTATTTCTATTAAACTGAGTGAATATGTTTGGGTAGAAGTATAAAGGAAGGTTTAACTTTAAAAAAAAAATGATTATTTAATGTTCCAACAAAAGACTACAGCAAACCTCGGGGCAGCAAACTTTCAAAGAATAAAAGAAGGCAGACAGACTCTGATTTAATTCACTTTTTTATACTTTTAGAAGTGCTGTGGGTTTATTCTGCAGATTGGGACTGATGAAAAGGCAATTCTCTGAAAACAATTGTGTTTGTCTAACTAAAGTGAATTTAATCAGTGAGTTTAAGCCCCCTGCTTATTCCCTGGGAACTATAATTTGCTGTTTTATGGGAGTCATCCAGAATCAAAAACTATTGTGACAATTTCAACACCCTCTAATTTAACAGACAGATTTATTAAAAGTTTTTGAAAATATAGTTTGGTTAATCTACAGGAAACTGCCTTTAAAAAGGTAGTTTTTTATTTCTGCCTCCGCTGCCTAATCCTGTAGCTAAAATAATCTAGATGTCATTAGATAAAATTATGATAGATTATGATAGATTAGATAAAATTATGCCATCTACAACATCCAGAAAAGGCTTCAGGATTAACAAGTCTGGAAATATATAGCTTTTTCCCATTTCAAGGTTAGAATTAGTTTAAAAATGAAAGAAATTCAGATCCAGACATCATTAACCTGCCTGGGAAAATACAGAAAATTAATTAAAAATATTATTTTTTTAGCTATTAGTATATGCCACCATTTGTATTTGGTTTGCCACATCAAACATTAAGATTGATGTATTTTGGCAAACTGTATTTACTTAAAAAGAAAACTCAAACAAAATTTTTCATACCTTTCAACTCTTCGTATATCAGGGATGGATTTTATTTGGATTTAAGGGTTAAAACACAAAATTAATAGTTTAATGGAAAAAATAGTTTTATTTATTCAGCCTTTGTGAGACATTATTTGTTGAATCAGCTTTAACTGCAATTCCAGCTATAGGCTATTTATGGGATCAGGGTGTTTTTTTTAATACTCTAATAATCCCAGAGGGATATTACATCTCTGCATTTAACCCATCCCCTTGGGAAGCAGTGGGCTGCCATTGTGCGGCGCCCGGGGAGCATTGTGGGGACAAGGGTCTTGCTCAGGGTCAGATTAAATGGGAGAGTCTTAAAATTAAATTATTAGTCTTGCAATATACTCTATATTGAATTTAGGTCTGGACTAGATTTAACTAAACGATCTCCATTCCTCTCCAATGTCATCATGAGCAGCCTCATCTTAGCTGAAGAAAAGCTTCCCCATAGCATGATGCTTCCATTACCATGTGTGGGGAAATTTTTTTCAGAATCTCTCATGTGAACCCCGGATCGCTGCTGCTTCTCCAGTTACTATTGACCTTTAAGGTGCTCAGTAAGATGTTAAAATCTTGTGATATTGTTTTATAGTCAAATTCTGGCTGGAACATATCCTCAACTTTATCTATGACCTGTATGGTGTGCTCCAGGATGTTACTTGTTCACATATGTTCTCCAATAAACCTCTGAGGCCTTTTCAGAACAACTGCAATTATATTTACATTAAATGGTAGACTCAGTGCAGTGATTTAATCACGGGAATATGTTGAGTAAAAAGTTCAGCCGTAGTTTAAACAAGAGAGCAACAGGAGTAGAAATCAGGCCTCTTTCTCCCCTCGTGTAAATCCAGCTGTACAGGTACCAGATTATTTATTTCAAGAACTGGGATGGTAATTGGAGCATTCTAAAGTGACTTCACACTGAGGGGAAATGGAGCTGAAAATCTGCCCCGATGGCCAAAATAAAGGATTTGGAAGGACGAGTGGAAAACAGAGAGAGGGAGAGCAGCAGGGGAAGTGAAAGGAAGGTGGTAGAGGAAGAAAAACAGTAAGAATGTCATTTATTAATGGGTGGAGATGTAAGAAAACCTGACAGGGTTGGGAGAGATTTGTGCCTATAAACCCAACTAATGAGAAATTCACAGATTTTATAGCTGTATTGTTCTTTTATGGACAAATTTGTCTCTTACACTTTGTCATTAGCATGTTCTAGACTATAAAACTATGTTGGGATTAGGGCTGTGCCAACTTTAGCATGTGAACCATTTTGTGGAGACTGGGAAAGTCCTTTTTTTTTCTTTGTATTTTTGTATACTTTGAAAGTTGCATGAAATTTAGTGCTGAGTGCAGATCCACGGAGTGCATGCTGTCAGTGTGGGAAGTTTGGTTACTGGGCTAATCCATTCAAGAAATTATAATAATGAACTTGGACCATCTCATGCTTTGATTGGCTGATTCAAAGGAGCTTTATTGGTGAGGGAATGAGTTGAGGAAAGCATGACTCTTATTATTTAACATTCATTTACAAAATAGAGCAAGAGGTGATCTTGGTGTCTGTCTGCCCTGTCATGTCCGTCTCCCTGCATAAATGTCTGCCAGCTGTCTCTCTGGTTAATTATGTTTCTCTAGCAGCTCTTCTGTCTTTCCTGTTCTTTGAAGATTGATCAAGCCAGCTAACCCAGAACTCAACCCTTCTTTCCCCTCTCTCACCTTTCTCTTTTCCTTCTCTCTGTCTTTCTTTTATCTTTACGATGCCACGTTGTCTGCTGCGCTACCCAGTCTTGCCTCAAGGTTAGTATCGCACGCCTATCTTTCTTCTTAAGCCCGTCTCCCTTCGTTTTTTCATCTCTCTCCTTCATTGTCATACTGCGTGTCCTTGCATGGAGACACTCTGTCACAAACTGCGTCTAATAATTCTCATCAAGTCTGTCTTTGTAGGAAACACCTTGACTTTCTCTTCACTTTCTGTCACATTGCTCCCTCTTTGAACAGGAAACATCATCGTTTCTTTCTTCCCATCTGTGTTGTATAACATTTTTGCTGGTCTATTCACTTTACACGTGTCTTAACATTGACGCAAACAGTTTTAAAAAAAAATGTAAATGTAAGGTATCACAGAAAAAAAAATCTAACATTATACAGACATTATAACTGATGAAATGTAATCAATTGTGGCCACCAAATTCTCGGACAGCTTTGTACTTTTATTTAGGTCTTTTTACCCATATTCTTTGTGGACGTTTTGTCTGTATTGAATATATTTCAGAATTTTTGTGTTTTTTTTTTTTGTTCATTTTATCACAATTTACTGCAGCAGTTGCAGATTTGTGGCACGAAAAACTATAAAATAAATGTTGGTGATGATGCATTGTATTGGGATGAAGAGGGAAGACGTACGATGTTATTGTGCCATGACAGGGTTAGTACCTTTTGTTGTGACATAATTTTCTAATTATTATTTTATCAAAAACTTATTGATGAAAACAGTCTCAGACTAAATACTATAAGTGCCCCCAGGTATTAAAACTAACAACTTAAATAGTCAGAAAATAAGGCCAACTCCTCTGCAGAGTTTGCCACCTTAAGCATAGAGTAAGCTGAGGTGAGTAAATCTTCCTGGGTGCATACAGAGGGTCTGTGTGGCGTAGCATGTCATAAAGTAATATTATTATTCTTGATTTTCTTTTTCTTTTTTTTTTTGTTAATTGCAGGTCCAAAATTATTTACCTTATCAGATGTGTTGATAGGCTGTTTATTATTTCACCTTTTTCCATGGATCTCTGGAACAGAAGTTCAACTAATACACAACAATATGAAGGCAAATACAAAATCTTCCAGCTAAGCACCTTAATTTGCTTGAGATGATATGGTCCACCCTTATATATATAACCCTTAGAGTCCAGACACAGAAAGAACTGCTACATCTAGGTAACTTGTGGACAACTGTAGAACTATGGTGGTGGGTAATTAACATCTTTCTGGTACAATGGTGTATCATTGTTCTAAAAAGTTGGATTTAAACAGATGTTCAGATTTAGGACTAAGAACAGGTGTTTTAAAAGAAGGGTGAAGGAAAACATCTTTGTTGAAAAAGAAGAGTCATCACCGAACAGAGCAGGAACTTTTCGGTTTCATTTCCCAAGTGATAGAAGTCTTACTTGGTACTTGTTCCAAAAACACAAGCAGTCACACAACAATCATGATTCAAACAGCCAAAACCAAAACAGACTCTAATGACAGGGAGAAAGACTGGGAGGGGGGACTTAGCATCTGACTTGGAACTGGATTAGAAGGATCGGCCTTCAAATTCTTCAAATCCAACTACAAATCGGTTTAGCGGAGCCACCAGTTTCAACACCACAAAAGGTGTTGAAACCATGTCAGAAAAACTGAAACTCTGGTTCTCTCCAATTTAAGGTTGTTTTGTGGTTTTAAACAGACTTTTGTTTCATCATATAATCCTTTGTTTTAAATTCCTTTTACTAAAATGCTACAAAAGGCGCTGTTTCTTCTTATTGACTGGGAGTGAATAGAAAATCCCAGAACTTCTGTCCCTCACCTGTTGCAGTGGACTGCTGGTCCGCTGGATAGAAGGTTAATATTAGACTTTTTACTCATTTGCAGGAAGATCTCACATAAATTAAAGACGTCTTTGATCAAAATATGGACAGTCAGTTAACCAGAACAAATAGTCTGACAAAACAAACGATATCAACATTTTATTAGTTTTATTACCCATTATTTTAACAGATACCATAATATAGCAATGTTTATAGCCTTAATTTATAGTTTCTTTGCTTTTTAGCTCTCCTATTTGCTCTTTAGAGGTCACCATTGTAATGGGATTTCATTATGTGAAATCTGGGGTCTGAATATGCTCCTTTTTAATAGATCTATCAAAATCATATAAACTTTCTGACCTACGCATTGCGATGAGCCACATAATTGTTCCTTCTGGTTTTTGCATAAATCTGCTGGTTTGAGTGTTTTGTGTCCTCAGATGTGTTGTTAATTCTCCACAGTACCAGCTCTTCCTATGTTTTTTTTCTTTCTTTTCCTCTAACTTCTAAAGCCACGAATCCCCTGGCATCTTGTCTGCCTTTTCATTGCCGGTTTTCTGCAGCTTTGCGATTCTGCTTTAGAAGGAGAGCAAACAAAGAAAAAAGCTGGTACAATCTCACTTTCTGGTAGATGACAGAGACTTTTTTTTTTTTTTTTACATAGAATCTCCTCCTCTGTATTTTTTATTTCCTGTTTTGATCTGAACTGAAGAACTCTAAAAACGTCCAACGTCAATGTTTCCAAAGCTCCATTGCAGGGTTTCATTTTGTATGTGCGCTTTAGTTTGTGTTTGATCTAGCGGAGGTCCTGAGTGTTGAGCTTTTGCAGGGATTTGTGAGCTATTGGGTGACAGCAAGTATAGGCACACTCCTGCCATCACAAACAAAGCATAATGCGTGTTTTTTTCTGTTTGTTTTGTGTTGCACACATGCAATAGAACACTTCTGAGGAGGAATTTGGCAGCAATTAGGTGAAAACACCAAAGAGCTGAAAACTGCAGAGATTTATCTCATTAAATTCATTCGCACTATTGAAGAATATAAAAGAGCTTTTGTTGGTTTAAAAAAATCAGCAGTTTACCTTGGTTATTGCTGCTGTTTTTACCTTTTGCATACAACTGGAAGCACTTTGGTATTTTTTATCTGAAATTCTCTGCTCTTAGTTATGTTGTGTTGATTTGGCTGCATGTTTCAGATCTTAACCCTGTTGAAGGACCATAGGAGTGGCTGTGAGATATTTATATAAATATCCTAGGAAGAGTTTTAAGTGCCATACAGGTTCTAGTTTTGTTTATGACAAGAGAAATGGGCCCAAAGCATCACAGATCCTTCACCATACTTGGCAGCAGTTGTTTAATCTTACTGAAAAGCTCAAACTAAACCCTCTGAGACCAAATTGCATAGTTCCAGTTTAGGCTCCAGCTGTTTACTTTTGAGATGGTAGGACATGGTAGTTAATTCAAAGATGCCATTGAAAAGCTCTCTTATATTTAGCTCTGTCACTATAGAGCTACATAGATGTTTTCCACTGTGCTTGGCTACAAGGTAACCTCAGATCCTCATCCAGCCCTTTTAGTCGCAGTTGTTTGAAATGTTAATAATTATGACAATTTGGGCAAGTTTAGGAAAATGGCTGTTTTTTTTCTAGAAACTTCTTAAATTCTAAAGCTTGCTTATTTTTCCTGTTTTGTGCAGAGCCTCGAAAAAATTACCGTCTTTGTCTTGACATATTTATCTCTCAAACAAAACATAAATCAAAAGATGAGTAACTGCTTAGAAGTTACTAGAAAACCTGATCAGCTTAAAAAGAAAGTAAACAGGCACTAATTATAGAATTAGAATATCATGAAAAAGTTGATTTTATTTTCAATGATTTGAATGAAAAAGTGGAACTTGGCTGCTATGTTTCAATTGTTTATTCCTTTTCATGTTATAACTGACAACAAACTAAAACCCCAAATTCAATTTCTCAGAAAATTTGAATATTAAGACCAACACCAAGAGGGATTTCCAGAAATGCTGGTCAACTGAAAAGTATAAACCTGCACAGAGCTCAGTACTCAGTTAGGGCTCTTGTGGTCTGGATTGCTGCAGCAATGCGGTGCGGCATGGAGTCCATCAGTCTGGGGTCCTGCTCGGGTGTTATTAGAGTCCAGGTTGCTCTGATAATAACTCCCTCTTTACAATAGCCCATAGCCTTTCTATGGGGTTAAGGTCAGGCAAGTTTGCGGGCCAATTAAGAACAGAGATACCATAGTCCTTAAAGCTGGTGGTGGTAGCAGCTTTGGCATTGTGCGCAGGTGCTAAGTCCTGTTGGAAAATGAAATCTGTGTTTCCAAGACATTGATCAGCTAAGGAAGCTTGAAATGCTCTGAAACTTCCTGGTAAACGTCTGCGACATTTGACCTCAGAAAAGGGAGAAACACCAGCAAATGACATGGCACCCCAAACATCACTAGATATGGAAACTTTACACTGAACCTCGAGCAACCTGGATTCTGTGCCTCTTCTGGGGCCTTACATTTCCAAATGCAATTTAATTTGATCGGAGAACATATCTATGGACCAATAAGCAGCAATCCTCTTTCTTTAGCCCAGATGAGATGCTTCCAACGCCGTCTATTGTTAACCTCTCAACATCCACCTCATTTTGGTAATCCTCGCCTATTTTGTATACCCAAATGGAAAAGCAAATAACTTAGGACCTGCAAGCCCAAATTACATGTGCAATAGATTATTTGAAAGCTAACACACTTTAGTTTCCTAATATATACATTAACATTGGGTGACTAGAACACAGACCAACCTGCATGAGTTCAAACATCACTCAAAGTTGTTGTTTTTTTAATTTCGGAAATGATAGGTATTTTTTAAACAGCAGTAATAAATACATTCTTGAGAAAAGGCAGTATTATATTTGTTCTTCATCATGTCAACCAAAAATGCAGAAAATTGCAGACCTCTAGCTATAACAGTTCCAGAGCTGTGAGCTTTGGAACCTTTGACGTCAGCTTGGAGCTGAGCGCAATAGCTCCACCTGCTGGTAGAAATTTTACAGGTGAAATTTAATGCATTCTGAATTATTACCCCCCACTTAAGGCCCACCGTTGGGTTTTAAGAGGTTAAAAAATGGCTTGACAAAATGGCATAATCCATGTCTTTCCTACATCTGTACTTGGTGATCATTGAATCAATCTCTAGCTGCAGTCCACTCACTCTTTGCCAATCTCC